CCCGCCCCACGCGCCCTCCACGGCCGCCGGCCACTGAGCAGTGGGCAGCCCCTCCACGTCCGCGTCTGCCTCTTTCCTCCCACGGAAGCCCGCACTGGTACCTCGCGCCTGGTGATCCGTGTTTTAACTTTTGTGCCCGTGACCTCCTGCGGCTTACACGTTTTATACGGCAACCCAGGACACGTACGATGCACCATTTAAAGAAAAGCTCCCGCATTACCTAGTGCAGTCTGATACATTGCATTTCGTAAAGTGCAATATACTATCCACTGTCCGCTAACGGGTTTCCAACCTTGACAGAAGGAGAGCCCAGAGGTAAGACTGCCTTGTACAAAGTTACAGTGCGAATGAGTAGCCTTCGTCTGGTCTCCGGACTCCTCGAAGCCAACCAGGCCAACCATTGCACACGAAGCTGCTCCTGCTCCTGCCCCAGACCCAGCACCGGCGGGAGGGCCAACAGCCTCCTCTCGTTCCCCCAAATCATCCCTCCCTCCGCGGGTCCCAGTTCTGACCGCCAGGAGCAGCAGAGGGGAAAAAAAAAGACTAGGGCTCAGAAGAAATATACAAAGTAGGAGAATAAGCATTGAATCCACAACGCCAAAAGAGTTTAAAATGTCTGCGGTATTATCTGGAAGAAGAAAACAAAAGTGAGAGTTGAGCATTTACGTTGTCAACCATTCTTAAGAAAACTTTAAGCAAATAATGTTTATTTTCATATTGATACACTTAATATATACGTGGATTCAAGATACAAAATTCATTTACAAGAGTTCACACCAGATGAATGTTAGTCACATTCCTAGAGAACATTTATCAATGCAAAATAATGCTTTCAATACACTGACAACAAAAATCAAATATTCTGTAATCTTGTTATTCAATAAACATAAAAATGACAATGTTTAACTTTCCATCCACTAGTATTTAAACGCCCTCCAGGTGGTAGGCACCATATAAAAGAAGAAAACATTGGAAAGACGGGGGCCTACAGAACCCACTCTGCAGAATCACAGTGTTTACTCTGAAATTCATTTAGTGAAGTAGTGAAAGGCTTGCTATTCTTTATGACAAATCACATATACAAGAGTCAAAAGTTATGAACTCAAGAAAAAATGTTTCAATAACCTCAATTTCTAAAATCAAATAAGTATTAACAAGAACAGACAAAGCAGGGAAAGGCTGCTGAAAAAGAACATTACAGAAAAACATCCTTAAAAGTATGTGTGGCTTAAGCAATCTGCAAACAGACAGGACTTTTACAAGACCACAAAAGTTCAAGTCAAATGATACAATATAATTTTCCCCCTTAGTCATTGGTAGTAAATAGCCCCTTCAAAATTTATTCTACTGATAATACATATAAAACTAATGAATTCAAATGGTTTGCTGTCTCACAGAGCTGAGTTAATGGATTTTGTTCTAAAGTATTAACCCACAATACCCAAAATTTAATACAATGAGCAACAAGACTACTTTTCAAGGATTACAGTAATTTGTGAATAGCTAGCTAGGCAACCAAATAGCTTCATTATTTGGACGACAGGTTAGCAGCACTTGTATAAGAACTGTTACATGATAATTATTGTGCTTCAATCTCTTGAGGAGAGCTAATAAATACAACTCTATAATCCCTATAGTGTTACAATTCTGTAACATTTCAGTTACAGACAAGCACAATTTTTAAAAAGTATTTCACACCACTAGAAAATCCAGTAATTATGGTCTCCAAATGTAATTTCTGCTATGATCGAAACAAGTGCATTTCTGCCTAATATCCATAATACAGACAATAGGTTCACCATTATTTTCAGGAAAAACAATCAAACATAACTTATTTTTAACTCTTATTTGAATATCTTAACCTTTAGTGATGATTTGCATAAAGAAAGGATATTCAACCTTACAACGGAAACTGCTCAGAGAAAATAACATGGCCTGAAATGACAACAATTTCTAGAGCAAAGTAGAGATGACCTACAACTGCTTCATCAGATTCAAAGACTAATGAAACCCCTATCTGTACTGGTGCTACATACCAAAGATAACCTATTTAGATAAATTCATTTGTAAGCTCTACTATGAAAATGTTAGGACATCGTACCTGCCCTTCCTAATATCTAAGTCCTTTCGATCTCAACTAGAAGAAATCTACAAAATGTAAGACTCTCTGATTGTTGAATAGCTGGTTTATTAGAAACAAACAAAAAACAATTGGAGAATTAGCCATATGGTCTAAGTGACTAAAGGAACGTATCCAAATAACTGTAAAAGCCATGAAAACCAAGTCCTAAAATATTTTACTGAATCATTAAGTTATTTTTAATAAAAGATAAAGTTTTTTTAAAACCCCATTCTTCAAGAAATAGTAAAATTTTTACTGCCCTAAAATGTTTAAAGCAATTATCCCTGCAGATTTTAATATATCACAACACATTTTTATAACTCAGAAAAAAAAATCAGTAACATGCAAAAGAGGGTAGAAATACAATTTTGAAAAATACTGTGATTATTTCTCTATGGTTTGGAAATATTTACTTTAGGATAATCATATGATAATTTCACATTTTACAATGGTTGGTCATACTATACTGATTTGATATTTGAGATAATTTATGGGTCAAATTGTAATGGTTACTCATCTTAATTTTCAATCATGGACAAGTGGACATTTGCAACAGCTTCAAAAGAGAAAATATTAGTAATATAACATAAAATTTTAAATGTTGTTTACTGCAGACTTACAGGAAGGCTGGCAATAATTCCCTATCTCATTCTAAAGTGATATAATCACTCAGTCTATTAACTTTCATTCCATAAGCCAACTGAAGAGTAACAATCTGAACCCTAAAATGACCAATGTTTCAATAAATACCACACCTAAAAAGATGATTGTCTTAGGATACACTGGAATTGTCCAATATAGGAAAATATTCCCAATTTATAGTCTGTTCTGTGACCAAATTCAGGCTTTATGATTAAATGAATGTGGAGTGCAGAATTAATATACTTCAAACTATTTAAAAACTGACCTGTTCAAATATGTTTTTAAAAATCACACAAAGTTAGCTTGACAATTAATTTTAGAAATAACTTTTAAAAACACACAAACAAAATTAACAAATGTATTTTAAAATTAAGATATAGTGCTTCAATCAACGATTAAGAAACAGTGTTAATACAGAAATGAAATTCTTCTCCAAAGTCAATATTACACCAAATAAATGAAAAATACCAATTTTGGCTTAAGATAACATTTTCTATCGACAGATGGAAATATTTCTATGGCACCAACAAAGTTATATTAATACATTTATCATTCCCCAATTAAGGGCATGCTCCCTACATCATCTTTCTGACAACCCTTCTTTCAACAGGTGATGGATTCCATTCACACATCAATTATTTTTTCCTTCAACAGAAGGCAGGCTTAAGAAGTCTGTGTTCAAAAACTCAGTGAAGCTGGGACATCGTGTAACATTGTTTTGAAATTCTAGAGTGAGGAAGACGAATTGCCTTTAAAAAAAGTTGTGTGTGTGTTGTTGTTTTTTTAAAGTAAAGAAGAGGAAAGAAGAGGAGCTCTAGCAAAAATAGGTAGGAAGTATCAACGCCTAAGAGTACAGGAGAAGGGGGGGGGGGAGCGGGGTGACGGGGGAGGAAAGGCTTGGTTTTCTATGCAATTCTTACCTTACATACCGGACAAGTAACTGGCTTTACAACTGTTAGAGTCAGAGGTCATATTCACAATGTCATTCTCATCTACTGATGGAGAGGCAAATGTAATATTTTGAGGGTGGTAAAATTGACTCCTGACTCTAACTTCTCTCTTTAAGATAATTTAATGTTGAATCAGATAGATTTAATCCTCTGAAGAATAATGGGGTGAACAGTTGTTTTGCAGTTCATTTAATCATGAGAAAAAAAAAGCCTCTAATTTCTGTGGTGACTGTATTCAAGTGTATATTAAACATCTTTTACCTGCTTCCATGCAAATAAACATGCCCAGTGAAGACAGGAGTAACTGAACATTGATATTCTGTGATATTTCATAGGTTCACAAAGTGGCACTATACATAATCACTATCCTCTTTTCTCCCCCACCTGTCATCTTTGGTAGAGGTTTGAAGGCCCAGATCTTAGAGCACACCACGCGCCTCATATTAAGAATCCTACCCTCATGTGTGAACATATATCATCAATCTACAGAACACAAGTGGTCTCACAGAGACAAAGAGATACAGCTGGAGGCACTGTATTCACGGGAAGCATTTTCTCAGATGAACATACTCATCTTTGATATGCAGCCCCAGTAAGAAATATCCATAGTCAGTAATGCCACGACAGGACAAAAGTGATCACAGCTGCTGTAAATACACAGATTAACAACCTCCTTTTGGAAATAAATTCCACCCCACCTAAGTAAAGCCTTCCCCTAGCTAATGCCCTCTTTTCTGCCTCACGGAGACATAAAATGAGACATACCAGTGAAAAAAAATTGTTCCAAAATTA